ACATTAATGAGGACCCATCAGAGGGGTCATGGAGAGGGGAACAATAGCGCAGTGACGGTGACAACCCATCTCAGCCAAGCATCACCTGTGAGCTATGCAGGCTGGTGCTGGGAGGATTTTATTCTTGTGATGGGTTAGTGCCTACTCCTGTGTGTGTGTGTGTGTGTGTGTGTGTGCGCGCTCGCGCGAGTGTATGCTCATACACGTACCTGTGCATATGAGTTCCCCTCTTCTCCTAATAAATTCTTTAAATAGATCAGAGGAGCTGGGATTTCTAAGGCCTTTCATCTTCAAGGTCAGTTTCAGCTCATCTCACACAAGCTTCTAGAATCTCATTTCTATGCTGGGCCAGTCTGCATCACACACACTATAGGTCTGTTCTGGCCATCCTGGATTAAATACAGTACAGCTCGGTTCTGGCCAGCTTGACTGGCTTCATAGCATCACAACCTCTCCTGACCTGAGCAGTGTGTTCCTCTGACACAGCAGAGAGCTGTGGAGTCTTTTAACACTCCATCGTCATATGGATGTAATGTCCCTGTGAGCAACAACTTCAAACCTGGACAGCAACTTCAAGCAAGCTTAGTTTTCTTCACCTTGGACTTGTATGACTATACTTATAATGCACTTCTTGAAACAAACATATGAATAAAAAGATGACCAAGACAGATGAAAGCCAATGATAGGTAGATAGATAATGATAGATAATAAGTAGATAGACAATAGATGCTAGGTAGGTTGGTAGATATATGATAGGTAGGTTGGTAGAGGGATAACATATGATATATGTTAACTCTAGATGAGTAGAAAGATGGTAAATGACAGGTAGGTGGTGGAGAGACAGATAGATGATAGATGATGGACAGGTGACAGGTAGATATTTTTCTGGACACTGTGTTGTGTGTTCTTCCTTGATGCTGCTCATCTAATCCAGGCCTCTGCTCTACTGGATTGTGATCCTCTCTGAGATAGGAACACAGCAGGGAGTCACCGTGCAACCCACTGTTGTTTCATCCTTCTCAGGGAAAGTGCATTTTTCAAAAGGTCCAGTGGTCTTTCTTAGGGTCTCTCTCTTCCCCACTATGAACTCCTCTGTAAAACCACAGAGGCTGAACCTGTAAACTGTAGCCAGAAGCTAGGGTTCAAATTAATGCTTATCACTCAGCTTCCCGCAGTGATGAGGAAATGCTTGAAGTGATTAATGCTATAAAGAAAACAGGGTTTGTGAATTCATGGTTCTGGAGGTTTAGATCCAAGACCAGATGGCCCGACTGCTTTAGACCTCCTCTGGTGAGTCAGGTGCCAATTAAGGAAAACTGATGAAAACAACTGCCTCACATCTTTTTCCAGAAAGATGATAGATAGATAGATAGATAGATAGATAGATAGATAGATAGATAGATAGA